AAATGTGGGTATGCTAAAAATATTTATCGGGTGTGCCTATCATTATGCTCAATGTATAAAATAGATGTATTATAGTTGAATAGAGTATAACTAAGGGCCGGTTTCACCACTACTTTAAACTACGATTAAGGTAAACCGGGGTTTAATCGGCCGAATTTGGCCGGTTAAATAACTGTTATCAGTCGATTAAGCGTAATCGACGTTTAAAGTATTTGGTGAAAGCGGCCCTAAACGTTCTATACATAAACTTAGATTACACATAATACAATATATGGTTTATATTCTATGCCTCTATGGTTTAATAGATACCAATTTTAAAATATGACCAACCTAATACCAGATTGAATAAACCATCATACATATATGTTCAACGTTTAAATTCATAAATATTGAGCTAAGAGGACGCTACACGGATATTTGTTGTATCCGTCTTATAAGTTTTAAGTGCATAACATTGCAAATTTACTCTCAGAAGATCACGTTTAGCTTCATTAGTTAAAACATTTGAGTTAATCTACCTATTATGAAACTTGATGATAAGAAAATTATCCACGTTTGTACATCGTGTTAATTACAAATGCACATAATTCACTTAAGAACTTTCTCCGTCAACTTTCATTAGAGGGAGGTACCTAATTAGAGTTAATTTTTAAACTATAACTAGCTACATGCGTGATCTGTTGAACGTAAATTTGTCATGTTACTCACTTGTTTGGAGGCAACAAATATCAGTGTTATGTCTTCTTAAAGCTGAGTTCACAATTAAAACGTCTGTTGTGATTCATGTCGTGTGCCTTCGTCGTATTCTGATTGGCTGTTATAATCATGGTATCATTCATTAACCTGACTAGTGACTAACCACGAGTCCACGATCGTAAAAAATAGAAATTTATACATCGAAGTATGGAGACATCTCTAGAGTTGGTTAAGCTCAACTCTTTGACTCGGCGTGAGAKACGCTTTATTAACATGATGTTTTGGCCCATTATTGGTTTATTAAATTTTACTAAACCTGCACTGAATTAATCAATTAATATGCAACTCAGTATAGTTGTTTTAGTTAATATTTATATGATTATTGTAGTTATTAATATATTTGCGTATTGAAGGTACACTATATGGGCAATTGATAAAGTAATTATCATACTTCTTGAAGTTTTGCTAAATASGTGTTTTGATTTTCGAATGAATCTGTTGATCCTATCCGTGATTTATAATTTAAAATCTCTTCATCTTTTCTTGACAATAATTCCTAAGAAAATTTAAAAAAGATTTACTTAAGGTAAATTTTCTTTGTTAGAGTAATTAATATATTTACCGTTAATTGTTTTATTCTAGACTCGAGCTCTTCACCTAATTCATCAATTTGCTCTTCGCATTTTTCTTTTTCTGCTACTAGTTCAGAAATTTGACTACGAAGACCTTTATCGTTCAATTCCAATGTTTTAATTCTATCTATGATATAATAATTTGCAGAATAGCTCAATTAGTAAAAATCGAAATAATTGTGGAATAATATATTCAGTGGGGGTAAAATTATTATTTTATGGATGGTGGCCGTGGAGGATTTTCTGGATTTTCTTTTTCTTAACATCTCAGCATATTATGAGATTTTTGTCAGCAGACGTGAACAGAATTCTATCAGACAAGAGGTTAATAGTCGACCAAAAACTGCAGCTAACTACATAAAAATAGGTAGATGCTTATATAAACGAAATGCCTAAATACTAATATATTGAAATATATTCCCAATTAATATTCAGTATTCTTAATTAACATTAACTAATCGTCTGWATGCATGAAAATAAAAACTAAGAATAAATTCTTTCAAATTTAGCATAATTAAAATGTGTTTACTAAATAAAAATTGGTTTCATTATTAAAAAGTTGTACTAAAAATGGATTACGATTTTCAGTTGCTAAAAAGATATTCCATGTCTCAATTCTCAGGATATTTGATAACAGAAAATTATGATTCTATTGTAATTAATGTAGCTATATAATATATAATGTTGAATGTTCTGTGATAAATCGCCAAATTGTAGTTAAAATCGTATGTTGTGTTATGACTARCAAGTTATATTCTAAAAATACGGTTTATTTTTAAGCAGTCGTTAAAACACAAATCATTTTAGGAAAATACCATGAAAGATAATATCCTTTTCATCAACTTTGAACGCCCTCGGATATATTTTAATATTTAGCTACTATTTATTACGACAGTACAGCATAGGCGTCCGCAAGGGGGGGGGGGTAAGATGGGGCATTTGCCCCCCTTGGCTTTTTCAAAATATTTTTTTTAATTKAATGTTTTAAGATAAATTACTATATACTATACAACAAATTTAAAGTATAAAATAAGTTGTAATATAATATATTGTATACGAGTATAATAAAAAAAGTTATTATTTTAAAACACCTAGTAAAATTATAATATTTATCCTCAAATACTAACATCCCCCTAGAAAAATTTCTGGGGGCGTCTATGCAGTACAGTAAGAATAATAAACCTGTGTATTCGTCCTGTAGACATTTCATATTTCCAAATTCAGCACTTAACGTATTCAAGTGTTGCGTAGCATTTTGAAGTTCGTCTCTCGTACTTGTTAGCAATTGTTTTAACATTCTATTTTCCTTTTCTGAT